GGTGCAGATCTCCCTCAGCGCGTAATGCTCCTCCTGCAGGGCCAGGTATTTCTGTAACACACGCGAGAAGGGAGATGTCCGGAATTACACGCAGTTCTTGGAAACTTTGCCTCCAGACGCCTCTCTCTTTCTTTCTCTCTGGGCCTGGTCACCGATTGTTAGTCGAGCTGTCGCCGGCTGTTAGGCGAAAGATTCGATTGCAGGGAGTGGAGAAGTTTGGGGAGATTGATAGAGACGTGGGGATAGGGGGGAGAGGGGAGAGGGGTGAAAAATCGATCGAGGAAGGTGGGTAATGTAGTAGTATTGTGGAAGAAAATGGACGGTTGAAGGTGTTTTGAAAATATTTAAAATATAAAGTTTTTATAAGAAACCATAATAATTGAGCATGAATGTTTTTTTATTTTATACTGTGATATTCTCTGTTTTTTTTTTTTTTTTTTTTTTTTGGATACGAAATAAATTAGTTTGAAAGTAAGAAAGTGTAAAATAGATGGTTGAAAATGGTATTCTTCTATAGATGAGAATAATAGATTTATGAATTATATTGTTTTATATTGTGTGCGATATTGTGTGTTCTTTTGGATTTGAAGAAAAATTTGAAGATAGAAAGATATATAGATAATGTAACATTTCAGAAGAAAATTGAAGATATTCTATAAATGACCAATCTGTGAGAATATTGGATTCATGAATATTTTACAATCTGATATTCTTTTAGAATAAAATTATTTTTATTTCTCTTTTCTGCATTATTTTGACTGATATTGATTCATTTTGTTTTTTTTAATCAAAAATATTCTGTTTGGAATTTTTTAATAATCTAAGATATCTTAAGATATCTTTCAATATTTGAAGTTCCATGCAGAGATTTAAAACTTGAGATTTTTAAAGAGACTAATATATCATCGAATTTAAAAAAAAAGTATATGAAATTTATTAATAATCTTTCAAATATATTAAAATATGATTCGATGGTACAATGTTATTTTCGCAATAAAAGTAGCAATATAAAATACTATATCATTTATAGATTATTTTATTGAAAAAAAGAAAATAGAAGTTAATTCTCTTTAAAAAGCTAGCAACAGTATTTCATTTATTTTGTAAAGGACATCAGTGAGTTAGTTGAACGTTAATATTTTAAAAAATAATTCTGTTTTCATCTTAATAATAAAATATCTATCAAAGAGAACTTGCAAAATTACTTTTAATTCTTTTAATATTAAAAACCAATTTTTTTCATATTTTTTTATCATTAACACTAGAACTGTTAAACCAATCGAGTTAATTGATTTTAGATTTTTTTCATTTATACAATTACCAAAAAATATACCGATTTTGTGCTACTTTTCAAGAAACTAATATTGATTCTTTTCAGAAACATGATTATATCCCATTTTAATTCAACTTGGACATTGAGATACGTCAGATATTGAACTTCAAATCAAATCAAACCAATCAAAAAAAAAATCTAAAAATGAGTATATTTCACGTTGACCTCTCGATATCGAATCAAGAAAATCTCAATTCCTTGGCAAAAAAAAAAAAACTTGTTATTCTTATCAATTTTTCTCTATTTCATCTCCATACTTCCATAATTCTAATAATTCCACGTTAATTCTAATCACGCACGTATAATATTATTTTATACGTGCATTCACAGTTCTAACAAAATTAAAATTCGACAAACAGAAAATATATTTGCGATGAGATCGACATTCTTTTGGCCATCAAATTTGAATGTCGATATTTGGCGAAGTTGATACATACAACATACCTCGGACACCCGCCTCAACTGATCGATTTCCTGATGTAATTGAGAGATCTTCTCCGCGTTAGAGATCGATGCTTCCTGCAAGGAGGTCCGCCATTCTCGTTCGAGTCGCAATTCCCTCTCGACCCCATTCGCCCTCGCCTCCCTCTCAGCAGCCTCGGCGCCCAAAATCTTCACCCTCTCCACCGCTCCTGATTTCACGTCGTCGATTTCCTTGCACCTGATTAAGTCAAATAGCTGACACTCAAAACATCGTGTGCTGTGCACTCGCCCTCTCTTCGTACGAGATACAAAAATAATTTTCGAGAAACGCGAAAATTTACGCACGCGCGAAGGCTGATGCTCAGAGATGATATTATCTTTGTGATAATTAAAAATATATAACGAGGCGAGTGAAAATATAAATTTGAAATTATTTGACAGAAGGAGATAGATTAGAGAATATATAATTATAAAATCTCGTGGTAAAAGATTTAAGAGAAAAGAGAAATCTTTAATAAAGAGCAAAGGAAAGTATTTTAAAGTGATATCTGCTTAGACTGTTAACGTTTGAAAAGAAAGATATTGATCTTTGAAAGTAAATTTAAATTTGATTAACGTTTGTAAAATTGCTTTATTAAAAAATAAGGGATAAATCTGATTCAATGATGAAAAGATGAAATAATGAGAACGAAGAGGTTGCACGATATAACGATTTAATTATTTTTAATGGAAGAAACAATTTCTTTTTATTATTAAAGAATCCATATTGAAGGAACTGTCTTGCGATCATTTAATGGCGACATTATTTACGTAACCTAGTTATTAATTAAACGATAAGGGAATATCATTCGGCTACAAGAATAATGAAAGCCTCGCAGAATTCCCCGTTATGTTATTTCGAGAGATTATCCCGGGAGGAAGCGATGCAAGAAGCGATAAATTATTATTTTAATAATCGATACAGCAGCCATCCACGTTTAAACAAAATTCATTTGGCTGTTTTCAACCGGCGTGAACAGTTTCGAGTTTACAGAAATGATAAGCCCCGAAGCGGAAAGGAAGTTACAAAAGCAAAGATCTGTAACTTAGTTCGAGGTCTTCTCGTTGAAACTTTCAAGTCATGATTATTCATGACCGAATACCTTCATCCGGCCGAAGAAATAGGCAGGTTGTTTTTTTAACGGCTTTATGCTGCTATCCCCGAGCAAATTTAAAAAATGCACGAGATTTCTACTACTATCACTACTACTTCTACTTCTACTATATATTTTTCCCCTCCGATTCAATTTTTATCCGACTTACCTTTTTCTCGATATCTCTATCTCGAAAGAAAAAAAAAAAATAATAATCTCTTTTCTTTTGTATCTGCGAAAGCGAACAAAACTTGCGAGATTCAGTAAAAAATAAAAAAAACAATTTGAACTATCTATGTATACACATCCTTTGTAACTTTGTAACCAACTTTCTACAACTAGAAGCACAAAGAAAACATGTTACACTTTCGACTCAAGCGATGGATTTAAATTAGTAAGTCTTTAAACTAAAACTGGAACGTTATTATATACATCATACAGAGAACGAGATTCAACTATTTAATGATAGTATTTTAACAAAATATTAAATGCATATATGTATATATTAAACGATGGAAAAATCTTTTATTAGTTTATTTATTAAATCTAATAATAAATTTGAGAAATATAATTTCCATCATTGTGGAAGAAATATATATAATTAATATATTTATGAAACATTTTTGAAAGATTCTAGAAATTAAAACAAAAGATTGATAGTTTGATTGTATATTGATTTTTGGTATATTTTATTTCTTTACGCAACCTTTTGTAAAGATATTCTAACTGAATATATTAAATATAATAAGGAATTAATATAAGCCATTCGATTGAGTCGAACCATCTGCATGTTTCAGCATCCTTACATCGCCTTATTATATCCGACAGATGATGATCTTGAGGGTAATTAAATGGTAAAAAAAAACTATCTTCTGTCATGAATTTATTTTCCGCTGAATTGATATACAAGCACACAAGTGTCTCGGTGCATTATAAAGAACCATTGCTCGATGCTTATACATAATTATATTTATATAAAGATTAGTGTTGGTATATGGCACGTTTGCTTCGTATGTGTCTCGATGAACGTGAACGACACAAACATGTGTACATAACGTGTGTCTGTGTATATAACGACGAAGGATATATATTATATACATATACACGATCGAGAAACAATTTGATCGATATAAAAGCAAATATAATTGTTGAGGAGAAATAATAAGCAGATAATTAATGCTAAAAAGAGTAAAAGAGTAAAAATGATCGCAAGCCAGTCCCTGTGTAAATTCATCCTGTGGTATTATCATCCTGATACGTTACTCTAATTGACCAGATACCACCAGATTTCAAATATTCGATATTCGATCATTAATTAAGACAAAAGAAGTTATATTTCGCGCACGAGCAAGGCAAGATCAACGATACGAAAGATCAACACGTCTCTATGCGCTATCCCTTCTCCGATAGCATTATCGATATTATTTTTAATTATATATCGAGGTATAAATCTACCAATTATTGCGGGAAACATGAATAACATTAATATTTATATATAATGTGTATTATATATAAGCCTGCTTCAGAAATAAATAACCAAATTTTTTTTTTACTCTCCTTAAATGCGAAAAAAAAATCGTGTACAATATATAAAAATTTTTACTCGTACTCGAATCAAAGATTTAGATAAAATCTAATTTATCGAGAAATATTACAAATATCTTGATTACGTAGATAGATATTTATTCTTCTAATAGAAAAAAGTAATAATTTTTGTAGTATTTTGTAATAAAATTTCCTTTCTCCATCCTTAGGAATAATAATACAATAAGAAAGTTTGGTTATCCATTTCTGAAATTGCCTTGTATATAAATAATATATATATATTATTAATATATATATATATAGAATTAATAATCTTAAATCGAGTAGCCTTTGAGTGAAGGTTTGCCAACATCCCCGTTAACGATAATCTGTACTATGTTTGCCTTGGCTAATCTACTCTAAGTCAGATCGCGTTCGCGAGACGCCTACGTAAAAAATAAATCACCTCTAATTCTACAGCCCTCGAGCGTATATTATTCATCGTTTCTCAACGTTGTCACACAATGATCGTCGAACAAATCGACGAGTTATAGAAAATTTGTTATCACAACGACTAAGTTTCTTTTTTTTTTTGTACGTAAATCGCTAAAAACCATTGACGATAATAAAGATAAAATTTTAGTAAGTTCTTCTTCTCTTTTTTATTTCTTTTATTCTTTTTCTTTTTTTTTTTTTTCGTCGTTTGTTATCAATAATATTCCTCCTCCGGGATAGATGAAGAACAATGAGAGATTTTTTGTCAAATTAGAAGTATTAGAAGATGGAATGATAAGAAAGACTTTGGTATTTGAAATGTTTTTTTACATCATGGAGAAATTTTTTTTATTAGACAATCTTCTTTCGTTATTAAACAATAAAAATTTCTAACTTTCTAGAGTATAATATTAACCCTTAAATATTATTTGACAATATACATTGATACTTTTATTGGATAATTATAAGATACAATTATAATATATTATAAATCAAATAGTAAAAAGTATATCAAATAGTAAAAGTAATATCAAAATCATTTTAGCATAGTACAATTTTTTCATGAATTCATATATAATAAACTCAAAAATAATATGAACTTTTCGAATTAATATCTTCTGTATCTTTATAAATTTGCAATTTCAAAGTTATATTATTATATTTAAAAGTAGCCATATATTTAAGGGTTAATACTTCAACAATATATTAATATATCTTCAACTAGAACAACATTTTAAATAAATTTTATAGAGAGAAAAATTGTCTGATATTTTAATCAAATTTAATTTTTTCATCAAATTATCGAAACCATGATTCGTAATACCAAAGCCTTCTCTTAGTCGCGCTGATGATTCGATGTTGCGCGAACATTTCAACGTGACGAAAACAAAATTTTACAATCATGACGTGAAGCGGCATATAACCGGAAAGCGACATAAATTCTACGCGATAGAACGTTATTATTATTGACTTTGATAAATTAGCTCGAACTGTAACGTATAATCTAGAATACCGAATCAGTCAAGTGCTTACAAATTAATTAACACTAATGAAAGACAAAATTAAACATACTTCTCATCCATTTTCTGGATGGTCTCAGTCATCGATAGCGTCTTAGCCTCCAATTTAGTGATCAGTTCTGTTTTATGCTTAAGCGAGCCTTCGCACTCCTGAAATAAACTATGTTTCAGTAAAAGAATCGTTTCGTTCTATCTCACTACTTAAAGGAACAACCCTGAAATTCGCACACAATTCTATAGAGATGTAAATGTTTTGCAATTATTCACGATTTAAAGAAAAGAATTCCTTTGAAAAAAAAAAAAAGAAAAGAATTCCGAATATAACTGAAAAATCATGCATTGAAAAATGAATTTTCAATCTCCTTGAACGAATATTAATCATTTGTCAGGTGGTAGATCATTTGCAGTAGTACCAGCTTTAGAAATTTGGAAGAGGAGGAAATGAATGTGAGTTTGAGGAAGAATCTAAGTTAAATTTCCAACATGATTTAAATCTTCAAGATCACACCTTAAAGAATTGATGGAGATGAGATTTGTTAAAGTTTGGATACTACTAAAACTTGGCACTACTGTATTTCTCTCAAAAAATTAAATCTCTTCTGTTAAGTATTCAATAATAAATTGTCTATTAGGAAGATACAATGCTACCAATCTGACAAGATAATTAACATTTCAATCAAAATATACGTCCCCTTTAGATTGAAAACACATGTGCGAGACACTCTACAATAATAATAGAGTAATAATAATCAGAATATAATGGAAGATAAAATGGAAACCAATTGCAAAGATAATGAAAAAAGAAATATATATCTATTAACATTATTGTCCTCGGTAGTAGTTCCATGCAGATAATAGCAATTTTATTATTAAACAGCGTTAACTATGCCGTTAACAGAGCACAGTTAATTCCATAGAGTGTCTCGATCGAAACACACCACGATGAATGCTGTATTGAAAGCCTATTGATGCATGAATAATGCTAAATAATTAATTATCGGATATTTCGTTTTAAATCCTCGTTAAATATTCTACGCGTTTTAGATATATATATATAAAGTTCTGTCCTGTGAAAGGTCTAAGTGATATTTTGATATAGTGTTAAATATATAATAGCAGTGCTTCTGAATGATCCAACAACATTTTAACGATTAATCGATAACAACCATAGAGTCCATAAACGTTAATTTTTTTTTCTTCATGCATCATGTCAAACAGTTATGCATTTAGGCTTCGATTGCATTTACACTATACAATTATATATATATATATCCACCGACTTAAATAACATTTAATAAGCTCTTTCTGTTAACTCAACTTGTTTAAAAAGCTGCTATAATAATTAAAAGTATATAAAAATTATTACGATAAACATCTTAGAAAGAAAAATTTAAAATAATATTACATAATATAAACTTATAATGTTAATATAATATTATACACATGGACACTTTTCAAAATGTCATTGGTCATATCAGGAACACCTTTCGTATAAAGAATTAACTGTCTTTCGATTACGCTTTCGATTGCTCGAAATATTAAACGTAGTGATAGAAGATGCATAGTATAAAAACCATTTCTCTAGAAAGACAATGTTTATTTTATGCGGTTGATCGTTCCTCTCCGGATTCCCCCACGGAAACCTCACCGTTACTCTGCTCTCTCTTATCAGGCTTCGCCGTACCCTTGCACTTGGCGCCATTTTGTTGAGCGTCTACCCTCGTTTGTTTGTTATTATTAGGGGAATCTAATTGCTTAACGACAGACTTTTGTTGAACGTTATTGGATTGTTGGTGATTATGGTTAATGGATGATGATATTTGCTGCTGGTTATTAGTCGACTTTTGTAGATTGTTAGCCGATTGTTGCTGATTATTGGACTGGGGATGTTGTTGATAATCGACCGCATTGTCAGCGGACGTGTAACATCTGGGCGAGGTGGGACTGGTCTTATTTAGAATCGATTTCGATACACTGCTCGGTGTCGTCGGGCTACGAATATTCTCCACCTCCTTTTTCATGTGGTTGCACTTCTCGAGATTATTCAGGATCTTCCCTATTTGATTCGTCTTCGCGTGCAGCCGGCTCACCATTTCCCCTTTCTGCGTTAGTTCGTGCTCACATTCCTATAATGGAAATATTCCCAGAAACAAGGAATTTCGAAAGCCACCCCCGACCCCCAGCTTGACAAAGGGGAAGCATAAACTGTCTGAGTGGTATATCAAACTTGGCTAAAATCTGAAAAGCTGGATATTAAAAGCAGAAGTGGAAAGGGAAGAGCGCAAAATCCAAGTGCGATTGGAAGAACACATAAATTAGAAGAAACACAAGTTAGAAAGTGTAAGTTAATAATCGCGACGAGGATATGCCTCGTGATCGATCGTCGAGAAAATATATAATTCTTCTTTTGTATAAGAGAGAGAGAAAATGTACATATATATATATATGTGATAATTGAAACGAAGAGAAGGATGTCGATCTCATTATGAAGCATCCTTCGTCGCGATTAACGGGTGAAAAGGTATACTGATGATCACCTGTAGCTTTTTATACATTTCCAAGTTAATTAATTTGATCTCATCGAGTTGTCGCCGTAACGATATAATCGTGTCTTGTTTCTCGTGAATATCTTTCTCCAACAGTTTCATAGCCACTTCCATTTCCGACTTCATGCTCATCTGCTCAGAAAAGAATTAAAAAGTCATTTCCTTCCGCTGATAAAATTATTAATAATAATTTCCAACGATAATGGATGTAAATATGTATAATAGGAATCCATTTTTATATTATATAAAGATAAAGATATGGCCCCATCCACCTGCAACTCTAATTCCTTCTCTACATCCTGCCGCATTTTCTTTTCAGCCTCTAATCTACTTCTCAACTCCTCGATTTCCGTGGTCGTTTCAGTGATTTTGATCGGTGGTTTCCCATTCTGAAACCAGAGAAACCCTTTTGACCAACTGTCAATCTGATCATTTATTACAAAAAAAAAAAAAAAAAAAAAAAGGAAAGAAAAAGCAAGAAGAACGTGATAGAAACGAGAGAGGATCAAAACCAAACGATCGTACCTCGTTCGTGTCTTTGATCTCGATTCCCAACTCTTTCTTCAATTGTCTATTCTCCTCGTGAAGGGACAGTATATTATTTTTAGCGATAGAGAGATCCTCCTTCATGAGAGCGTTCGTCGTTGTCAATGATTCCACTTTAGCTTGAAGGTTGGTCACAGTCGCGCTGAAATCGATGATGATACAAAGGCTTCGAATCATCGGCGTATATATCGTGTGTGTATGTGTGTGTGTATACATATATGCGGATATATAGTTACTTCAAGTGTCGATTCAGCTCCTCGATGTAATTTTTCTGATCGAGCACGGTGGTCATGTTGTCATTCTCCAGCTCGTCGTCTGGGGATTCACCAGGTATATGATTGCTGTTCCGCAGATACAATGAAAAATCGATCACCCCTTGTTGACAATCGAGGTCTTCCTCCTGTCGCAACATTCAATTCTATACGTTCTTGTTTGTCAGTTTTTGAACAGTTTGCGCGGAACAGAGTGGAGTAAACTGACCTTTACGCAGAAATTGCAATCGATCACGTTCAAACCTACCAACAGGCCCATTATAACGATCGCCTCCTCGCTCATCATCAGAGCATCAGGCTCGAAATACTCGGACAGTATGTCCTCTTTGTGATCGATCAAAACTTTTAAGTAATCCGCCAACTTTTTCTGCATTAACGCCATACGCAACCATGCTCTCGCCCTACCCATGGCGGTCCTGGAAAGGTCAATTCGGTC